ATTGGGAGTGATTCTGTATGGAGTACAACGCAGATCCTTTGTAATGTTAATATTAACGAACATTTTCTAGAAATAATGCTTCATGTTATAATGTATAAGTTTCTAAATTTTTATATTCTTATTGGACGAGAGATTCTAAGACAAAGCTTTAGAGTTGTAATCGAAGCAAATAAATTCGAAAGTCATAAATTAAAAATAGTTCAAGCGGTGTCGTACGATTTTAGTTTAATAAATTAAATCAATTTCAATAATGATTTAAGTGAATAAAAAAAGGAAAGATTAACTGAAATATTGGGAAAACATTCTAAGTCCTTTTTTGAATGCATTCTACACAGACAAGTAACAACAGGTCTACTTAGTATACGTCTTAGTGAGCCGGCTAAGTGAAGAAGAAAAGGCCAATGTAAGAAAAATGATAGACGAGCTATTGTCTGCCAAAGTTATACGCCCGAGTAGTTCCCTTTTTGCTAGTTCGCCTATGCGTTGACTACAGGGAACTAAACGCAAGTATCATGGCGGAAAATAATCCTTTACCACTTATTTCTGATGAAGTAGTTTATGTCGGGAGTATATGTCGGGAGGCAAGTTTTTTATACCCTTGCAGAGGGTATAATAATTTTGGTCAAAAGTGTGCAACGCAGTGAAGGAGACATCTCCGACCCTATAAAGTATATATATTCTTGATCAGGATCACCTCCTGAGTTGATATAGCCATGTCCGTCTGTCCGTCTGTCTGTTTCTACGCAAACTAGTCTCTCAGTTTTAAAGCTATCGAGTTGAAACTTTGCACACACCCTTCTTTCCTTTGCACGCAGTATATATGTCGGAACGGCCGGGATCGGCCGACTATATCCTATAGCTGCCATATAACTGATTGATCGGAAATGCCATAACTTTGGTGTTTGTAAAGTTAGGAAGTTGGAATTTTCTATGGGTCTTATATTTGGCCAATCAATCCGACCTACCAAATTTCATAAGGATCGGAGGACTATATCCTATAGCCGCCATATAACTGATTAATCGGAAATACCGCAACTTTGGTGTTTGTTAAGTTAGGAAGTTGGGATTTTCTATGGGTTTTATTGTTGGCCAATCAAAGCCACCTACCAAATTTCATAAGGATCGGCCGACTATATCCTATAGCTGCCATATAACTGAACGATTGGAAATGCCATAACTTTGGTGTTTTTAAAATTAGGAAGTTTGGATTTTTTATGAGTATTAAGAATGCATCATATGAATAATTTTGGAGAATATAATTTATTTATTCGGCTCCGCCCGAAGTTAGCTTTCCTTTCTTGTTTCTTGCTAAGACAGGCAAGTGGGTTTTATCAAATTCCAATTCATCCCGACTCGATCGAACGTACGGCATTTGTAACGCCTGAGGGCCATTATGAATTCCTCGGAATACCATTTGGGCTAAAAAACGTGCATCGGTATTTAATTCAACGCGCAATAATTCAGGTTTTGGGATCGAGAGCCTATACATTTGTCATCGTTTACAAAGGCCTTTTATATAAACAAGTGTACGTTCCTGACCCAACAAATAGACTATTCCCTCCACAATTTATCGGATTAGCTTCCTATTTTCTCCAATTTGTGTTAAAGGTCTCAGAAATGTTAAAGCCATTGTTTTTAAATATCATTCGTTCGAGTTAGAAACCCTTGCTGTTGTAAATGCCTCAAAGCACTTTAGGCATTATTTACAAGGACTAGAATTTGTAATTTTTACTGACTGCGATTCATTAAGGGCAAGCCGTTCGAAAGCAACATTGACAACTACGTTGCATCGGTGGTGGGGATACTTGCAAGCCATCCGATTTCGGATTGAGTAAGGGTAGAGAATGGCCATGCTGATTTTTTAAGGTCCCAAAAGCAAAAGTACAGGCAGAGCTCCTTCCAATTTTTTAAAAGTTACTATACCCTGGCATACTTTGCACATTGACATTACAGGAATGCTAAGCGACAAGAACGATCAAAATTAATAAATTATTGTTTTAATAGACGCTTTTAGTAAGTTCGCATATTTGTATCATACTTTAAGCTTAGACACGGAAAACTGTGTAAGGGCTATGAAAACTTGTTTGCCTATATGTGTAATTGCCGATTAAGGTAGGTCATTCGCCAGTTCAGGGTTTCGCTAGTTTTGCACTTCGCGAAGAATTGATCTTCAATTGATTGCAACAAGCCAACGGGCATTTTGAGCGAGTTACACTTAAAACACTTAAAAGAATGCTAACTGCAGTCGAAACTGATCTGCGATCCTGGCAAGACGCGCTATTAAAAGTCTAAATAGCCATGAACAGTACAGCAAATCGAGTGACCAAAATAACCTTGGAGTTGATGATCGGCAGGGAGGGTAGAATTTGACAAGACAATTGATGAGGAAGGTCAGACCCGAAGTGGATAAGATGAATTGTAATAACAAGTAATGTTGAATGCTTATGTTAGGCTGCACAATGATCCTGAGTGGATGCTTGGCGAAACTTATGTTAGGATACACTATGATCATGTGTGGATGCTTGGCGAGAGCTTATGTTAGGCTGCACTATGATCCTGTGTTGATGCTTGTCTGGAGCTTTTGTGAGGCTGCACCATAATCCCGTGTGGATGCTTGGCGGGAGTCAAGAGAACAAGTTGTTTTTTTCGAAATTCCGATAAAGAAGAAGAAAAAGAAGAACAGATGTGAAAGACGATATGCTATAAAATACCGAGAGAGAACATTATTAATTTAATGTATCCTTATGAAATTGAAAAATTAAAGTAATTTAATAATTTATTATGTTATAAACATCATACACGTGGACGTGAGCCTGTCAGGAAGGCCGTGTAGCAGTTCTTGCTATTATTTAAATTCTAGAAACTCTCTGAGAAGCGAGACCGGGATTTTAGCGATATGGTACTGCCAGACGTCTTGAAAAACGGCCTAACCGTCGATTGTGCCTGGTTGCACAAGAGCGAGAGGGAAGATGAGCTCGGCGAAGGAGAGGCGTTGTCGTTGAACAGCGCGACACGCGAAAATGTCAATTCTCCGTTGAGTATTTAATTGGGTACTTCTAACTGGTTATTTTATCAGATATCATTTAGTCTTTTGTGATAGAGGGCTTCAAAAGCAGTTATCTAACAAAAATACGCAACTTACACGTTAAGTGGCGGCTCTTTGGATACAATAACTCTTGTAAACGATATTGCCGTCCTTTTCGACCCAAAACTAAAGTTTTCTGATCATATTTCGACAATGGTTAATAAAGACAGAGAAGTGCTTGGTTTTATGAAAAGATGGTCAAAATATTCGATGATCCTTATGACACTAAGACTTTATTTACCTCGCTAGTCCGTCAGTCTGTCATACCATTGCAGAGGGTTTTATAATTTTGGTCAAAAGTGTACAACGTCTGGGAACGTCTGCTTATACATACAAACTGTCTGGCAAGACATCTTGCCACACCACTGGGTCGACGGTATCTCCGCAGACAACACACGGCAGACTTATGGATTTTCGACCGTGACGTCTCTTATAACCACACATCCTGATTAACTTCATAATTTGACAATAAACGAATACAAGGTCAATCCTTGTATGGCGTGTTCAATAATAAAAATAAAAAAAAATGCGTTGTATATCCCGGCGCCATGTCAAAGGCATTTGTATTTTGAAATGGAAATTTAATGGATAAATCTCTCGACTATAGCGTACCTTCTTGTTTTAAATTGTTACTTTTCTGTCATCGTCTATTTACTATATACAAATTAAATATTAAACACCTTTAACAATTTATAAAAGTTGTGACATAATGAAACAGTGCCTAATAGCTGGTTTCGTTAAAAGAGGAACACAAATACATTTGAGAAATTCAACAAAAATTAACATGATTAAACAAAGGACGCAAAGAATAAATTTGCTTTTGGTATAGCGGCATTCATTGAGTAAAAGAAGGATGCCCAAATAAAAAACAAACTAGTGGAAACGGTCAGTAAAGGTTACTCTTTAAAGAATTTTCAATCAAATATTTTCAAATTTGTAAACATTTTTGTTTAGTTGCTAGTTAAAACTATTAATACTGAAGATGGTACATTATATACGCCAATTTAATTTTATAACAAATAATTCTGCGGTATTAGTATAGGTGTTGCAATGGCTTTTAAATTAAACAAGAAAGAAAGCAAACTTGGGCAAGATTTCAAGCTATTACAAATTACTAAAGACAATGAGGCTATGTCGCTTTTGCGCTGCAATTTGCCATCATTTCTATGGCATCTATATGATATTTTTGTCCGATTTTAATTTAATTAAAACCGTAACTCCATAATACTTAAATATTTTATTATAATTTTGGTCAAAAGTGTGCTACGCAGTGAAGGAGACATCTCCGACCCTATAAAATATATATATGTATTCTTGATCAGGATCGCGTCCTGAGTTGATTTAAGCATGTCCGTCTGTCTGTCCTAGTGTCCGTCTGTTTGTTTCTACGCGAACTAGTCTCTCAGTTTTAAAGATATCGAATTAAAACTTTGAACGGCCGGCATCGGCCGACTATATCCTATAGCCGCCATATAACTGATTGATCGGAAATACTATAACTTTGGTGTTTGTAAAGTTAGTAAGTTTGGATTTTCTATGGGTATTATAATTTCAGTCAAAAGTTTGCAACGCAGTGAAGGAGACATTTCCGACCCTATAAAGTATATATATTCTTGATTAGTATCCGGCCGTCTGTCCGTTTCTATGCAAACTAGCCCCTTAGTTTTAAAGCTATCTGCTGGAAATTTTCCCAAAAGTTGTCTTTCTAATATAGTAAATAATTACTATAACTCAAAGGAATATTTTAATAAATAGAAAAACAAATTTTTTGGTTTTCCTATGTGAGCTATTTGATATAGATGTCCGATTTTAATTGAATTAAATCCGTAATTCCATAGTATTTAAATATAAAAATATGAGTCGAGTTTATGTAACAAGATTTTAAATGCTTTGATTATTACTATAAAATATTCACCCTAAAAAATGTCATTGTTGATCCACCTTCCAAAGTACCATATGATATTTCCGTTTGATCTGCCAAGTCAGAAGCGCTTTCTATAGGCGATATCATCCGTTCAACAGTTAAAAAAGCAGCTAAGTTGGCAGTGTATGATGAGATAATTATTAGGCAAAAAAAGAACCAGCATCCACCAACAATACGCGTTGAGGTAGCCTAAAAAAGAAATAACATTTTTGGATTGAAGACTTTCGTAACAGTTATGAAGGCTACAGTAAAGAGAAATTATTATCAAATGTCTGTTCCCCATATAACTAGACCAATTGAGTCTTGTGTGCTATCTTGCGTTGTAAAAATTATTTTAAAGTATATTTTTTGATCATTTTTTTGTGTTATTGTAATATTAATTTGGTTTAATGGTCAGAAGATTGTAACTAACAAAATATTCCCGTTTAAATATATTTGTTATTTTTTATCAACAAACCTATGCTATGCTACTTGAATACAATTACACAATCGGTACTTGTAAAGTACTAGCGATAATATCCTAATTGAAATTTATAGAAGAGGAGAACATTTTTCCTACACCGTAAAATATAAATGTTTGCATTATCATCACAAAAGTCAATGGTGGGAGACAGACGAGCAGACGAACAAGACTATAATATAATATATTGTTATGCTATATTTTCTTTGAAATTTATAACACAATTTTTGTTTATACAGCTATAAATTTTGTATCCCTTTATGAACTGAATATGAAGAATATTTTGTTGATCGTACCCTAGGATATAAGTCAGAACCTTGTTGCATAAGAGCGCCAATGGCAAACCAAAAACTATTTTTTAAAGTGAAATTGTTTTGTATTCGAACTAAATCCACTGTATTATCTTCCGATGCCTCTTCATCAACATCATTAGATGGCGGTAAACGTAAATCATGTCCACAAATAGTATCACCATGTTCAACATAATTATTGGATTTGTTTATTTTGCGGTCTGTGTTTAAATATACTTCTTCATCATCTTCTGACATTTTTTTTCTGTTTATTAATTCCAATTGTTCATCAAGGCAATTTTCTTTGTGAATTTCGCGCAATATATGGTCACAAGCCATTGAACAGGGTGGCTTTGAATTAACCCATTCGATCGGTGATAATCGAGCAACAATCCAAATGCAAATTGATACAAAAATATATCCAAATGCAATATAAAACCAAATTTCAATGGCAAGTGGTGATAAAAACGCAAAAAATTTCGTTTGAGCTCGATCTGAAATCTGAAATACAACAAAAATTAATATAGTGTCCTTTTAATAATCACAAAATGTGTAAACATACGTATAAATGAATCTAATATTAATGAACCCTTAAATGATTGTGATTATGTATACCTTCGGATTAAGTCCAGATCCTTGGCGTAAGAATGTTCCTGTTATAAACCAAAAACTGTTTGATATAGAAAACTGATTTTCCACTATATCAGTTTCCTTGTAGCACGGATGAGGGTTTTTCCACTCATATGGAGAAAATCGAGCCATCACAAAGAGCGCGAAGGATACTAATATATAAGCAGCTAGCACATAAAGCCATATCTCGATTGCCAAAGGGTTCATAAAGGAGAAGAGTCGAGTGGGTTGACTTGTCGGCACCTATTTGGTCACATATGTGAAGGGAATTTAAAAATATATGTCTACAAGTTTACAAATTGCGTAACTACACATAAAAAGAAAGTATGAAAAATATTATAAATAAGAGAGAGTTTACCTTAAATAATATACCAATGCCCAAATTCATAAATGGTTTTGTAAAATCAATAACACTCTCCCGAGCGTAGTTAATTGTCATTGAAGCTACAGCTAGATCGGCACGCTGAGAAGAATTTATTTATTAATTATATAAAATATAAGTGGCTTTTATTAATGCCAATGTTGATGTATATTAAAGTATATACTTGCCCTTTCCATTAACTCTTGCACAATTCCATTCCATGAATTAGTCTCTGGTATGAAAACACCGTACATATTATCGGGAACTAACTCGATTTTGTATTGAAATCCAACTTGTTGAGCGATCGCTTTGAGAAGATCAATACAAAATCCTTCAAATCTAATATTTCCTGTAAGATTTTTATCCTCCTTGACCATAACATATGGTCGCTCCTGAAAAATTAATTTGAATCATTCGTTTTTAAAAGATAAAAATGATTTTGAGAGAAAAATATATAACTGAAAAAATTTTAATTTTGCTGTGCGATTAGTTTCTCAAAATAAATATTTAAAAAAAAAGAACAAAAGTTGATGAACAAACAAATATTTTTTGTGATGTTATGGCGATATTGGCGTTCGTCTGATCGGTTTATTATTCCTTCCTATTCGAAACAAGAAATCAGATAGCTTTAAAACTGAGGGACTAGTTAAAACTGGGGGACAAACACCAAAGTTATGGCATTTCCGATCAATCAGATATATGGCGGCTATAGGATATAGCGGCCGTTCCGACGAATATACTACCTGCAATAGAAAGACAACTTTTGGGAAAGTTTCAATTCGATAGCTTTAAAACTGAGGGACTAGTTTGCGTAGAAACAGACGGACGGACAGACAGACGGACAGACGGACAGACGGACGGAGAGACGGACAGGCGGACATGGCTAGATCGACTCTCCTGGTGATGCTGATCAAGAATATATATACTTTATAGGGTCGGAGATGTCTCCTTAACTGCGTTGCACACTTTTAAGCAAAATTATAATACCCTCTGCAAGGGTATAAAAATTACCTGAAATTCATGGCTCTAGACAAACCCTTTAGCAGTAAAATAAACGTTTCCGACCATATAAAGTATATATATATGTTCAGTTTACTGCTTGTCCCGATAGTTTGAGAGCGAACCGATCAGCTGATCGTTCGCTCATCTGGACCTGTGTAGGACGAGGGCAGAGAAAACGAAACGCAACCAGAACCAACAGTCTGCACGGTCGAACAACGCTGAACGCACGCCGCCGGTCTACCGAAATTTGCACTTTATCATACACTTGCTAATCTTGGAATCAGAATAATTATAACTCTTTGAATTTATCCTTTTGTGGTTGCCTTTGCCTGGGAACCGCTCGTACAATGACCCCTCGTTGACTTAATACAAGGGGACACAACTGAACATGGTGGCCCATGAGGGGAACCTGCAAATCAAAATACAGTTCGTAAAAGGCTAATTAGAATTCCGTTAAATAAATTCCGTTAGATCGACACGCCGGCTCAACAAAGCAGTGCAAAGAAGACGTCGATACATAAGCGCAGCAACGGCAACCCGGACTTTGCAAAGCGCCGTTATCTCTTCCCTTCCTCTTTGTGGTGTGGTTCTGGTATGCAAGCAGAGTGAGTTACCAAGTTGTGTGCGAGACAAGTATTACAGATTTATCTATTACATAATTATTCGGGGTGGTGAGTTGCGCAGGCCTTAGTCTTACACCTGCCAACATGAAACCTGAGTCGGCTGATTTGGACAAGTTGGTGAATCTGCAATCAGATCGTCACCAAGCTCTCAGGTCTGTGTTACAGAATTTTAGGAAAGATTCGCAGGCGAGGAAAACTAAAATTTATCTCAAAAAAAGGCTGGACCAAGTGGAGGAATTACGGAACGCTTTTCGGGAGACGCACTCGGTGATCGTTAATTTGGATGGATTTAGTGATTCAAGTTACGCCACGAAGAATTTCCAATCAGAATTCGAGGAGCGTTATATGGACGCTTATTGCGCTCTCGCCGAAGACTTCGACAGGCTTGGACCAGAAAATACTACGCCGACAGCAGCCGCCGGGAACGCCGACCCGGAGTTGCGAGTAAACATGCCGCAAATGTCGGTGCCTAAATTTTCCGGTGCGTGTGTGGACTGGCCAGGCTACTACGACGCCTTCACAAGTCTAATTCATAACAACAACAATTTGAGCAATGTCCAAAGATTGCACTTTCTTAAGGAGTCGTTGCCCATAAGTCGTGATAATGACATTCGTCAGATGCAGCTCACGGATGTAAATTATGCAGTGGCTTGGGGAATGATGATCAAAAGGTACAACAATCCTCGTCTCGTTTTCTCACACCATATGAACGCAATCTATGCGCTGCCCAGATTGCAAAAGGACAGCACCGACTCTCTGCGGTCGATGCTAAGCACGGTCAATGTTTGCCTAGCTGCCTTCCGCCGCGTTCAAGCCTTGGGCGGGGAATCGCAGCACTGGTTGGCGCATTACATAGCATCGAAGCTGCCCAAGGAGACCCACAACGCTTGGGAGCACCACCAAGGTAGCTCTTCAACGGTTCCATCCTATAGGGACTTGGAATCATTTCTGAACGATCGGCTAGTCATAATGGATGCGATTGAGAATCGAAGCTCGTCGTACGACTCCAATGCTGGCCCAGGTTCAACAGACCCGATCAAACGCGTGCGAGTGCATAATGCACAGGAGCAACCAAGGCGTTCGAATAACCCTTGTTATCACTGTGGCGGCGACCACATCCTACGTCGCTGTCCACCTTTCTTGGCGCTGGACTGTTACAAGCGCAAGGACATAGTCAGTAGGGCTAAATTATGCGTCAATTGCTTGAGCAAGTCGCATGCCCTGTCTCGCTGCACCAGCAACCAGTGTTGTCAGGTTTGTGGTCAGCGCCATCATACGTTGCTACATTTCCCGGTTCCGGCTCAGAACCAGCCTTCGAACCACGCTCAATCGCATCCTGCCCGGCCGCCGACACCGCAGTTTGTGACGCCGGCATCCAGGGAAACAGTGTCTGCACACAACATACAGTCCAGGTCGGATCAAAATCCGCACGCATCTTACAGATGTCATTCGGCGACGTCATCCAACCTTTCCTCGAAAAATTTACTTCTCGCTACGGCTCGTATTATGGTACGAAACCCGACCAACGGCCTGCAAGCAGTAATAAACGCTCTCGTCGATCAAGGATCTGAGGCAACCATAGTATCTGAACACGTTGTTCAGTCCCTTCATTTGAAACGATCTGCCGTCAGAGCATCCATTTTTGGGGTAGGACAAGGGGGCGGTCGTCGTTGCAAGTATACGGTCAACCTTGAAATCAACAGTATTAATTCCAATTTTTCTTTAGATGTTGATTCCGCATATGTGCTCAATTCCGTAACATCCGGCCTCCCCAGTCTCAGCTTCTCGCCGAAGCGATGGGATCACATCCAAGGGCTCCCGTTGGCTGATCCAAATTATTACAGATCGAAACGAGTTGATCTCATCTTGGGAGTGGACCTGTTGGCACAAATCATGTTGCCAGACACGAAGATTGGATTGCCCGACGAACCCATAGCTCAAAATACCCGTTTGGGATGGATACTATCGGGGCGAGCGGAAGGAGTTACAAAATCTTCCGAACTACGCTGTCATCGAGTAACTTTGGACACGGAGTCATTGCTCAAACGATTTTGTGAAGTCGAGTCGGTTCCTGATCGTTCTACGGAAACGGAGGAGGATACATGGTGCGAAACATTTTTCCAGGAAACACATGCACGTCGATCGGATGGCCGCTACGTAGTACGATTGCCCTTTAAAACATATTTGGATCCAACAATGGTATTGGGGAGATCTCATCAAATGGCGCTGAATCGGTTTATTCAATTGGAAAGGCGTCTGTCGAACAACCCGGGGCGGTGGAACAAATATGTGGAGGAAATCGAGGAGTACTTTTCGCTTGAGCAAATAGCGCCTGCTGTGGGCAGTGAGAGCAGTCTAATGAAGCGCACATCTTCGAATATGCATGTAGCTTCATGCGTGCTTCCGCACCATGCGGTCTTCAAGGAGGAACTCCATTCGATCAAACAAAGAATCGTATTCGATGCCTCCTCAAGAACTAGTAACGGGAGATCATTGAACGATATACTTTGTATCGGACCCACTTTGCAGAACGACATGTCATCGGTTATACTCAACTGGCGGAAATATCGTTTTGTTTTCACGGCGGATATACAGAAGATGTATCGCTGCATAGATGTTCACCCAGAAGACGCCCAATATCAGCGGATTTTATGGCGGGCGGCGGATGGAGCCATCAATGTTTTTGCGTTATCGACATTGACCTTTGGGACGGCTTCAGCACCGTTCACAGCTATCAGAGTTATTCAACAGCTGGCAAAGGATGAGCAGCTTTCATTTCCTAAGGCCAAGGAGGTGCTGATGAACGAAATATATGTAGACGACATTCTTTCTGGAGGACATACTATAGAGGAGGCAGAGGATAAGCGGTTTGCAGGTATCGGGTGCTATAAAATCCGCACGCATGGAGTTGCGAAAGTGGGCCAGCAACGATTCGAGACTTTTGCTCTCGATTCCGTCAGAGTACCATTGCACTCAGACCCTGTTAAGTTGGGACACTACAGATCCCATAAAGGCTTTAGGAATGTATTGGCTGCCAAACAAGGACTGTTTTAAATACCAGATCAACTTCGAGATGCCAGTCAGCTCCACAAAGAGGATGATCCTATCCAGTATAGCAAGGTTGTTTGACCCGCTGGGTCTCATTGCGCCGGTCATCATCTCGGGAAAACTTATATTGAAGGAGGTTACCATGGCCAAGACAAAGCAGGCAGATGGCACGCAGACGGTTCTGGACTGGGACGACGCGGTTCCTGATAATATCGCAGAGCGATGGCGAGTATTTCGAGACCACTTACTGAGGATCGGCGAGATAAGCATAGATCGGTGGATCCATTACACCCCATCTTCAATATCCTCAGTGCAGATGCATGCATTTTGCGACGGATCTTCCACGTCTTATGCAGCCGCTGTGTACCTAAGAGTAGAGCATCAGGACGGAAGATGCTATACATCTCTGATGGCTGCAAAATCAAAGGTTACTCCCACCAAGCCCCTAACTATACCTCGAACAGAGTTAAGTGGAGCGGTATTGGCCATCAAATTGGTGAGGTGGCTAACTATGGCTAAGTTTCTGAGCTCCTTTCTGGTCCAGACTTTCTATTGGACGGATGCTACAATTGTGCTGCACTGGTTGCATGGAGACGTCAATAAATGGAAGACCTTTGTTGCGAATAGAGTCGCCTTCGTTTTGGATCATTCCTCGCCAATTCAGTGGAGGCACGTTAGCACTACCGAGAATCCAGCGGATTGCGCTAAACGCGGTCTCACTCCCATCGAGCTAAAGGACTTCGAGCTGTGGTGGCGAGGGCCAGAGTGGCTCGTACGCAATCAAGACTGTTGGCCATCTACAGATTTCGGTCAAATTGGCATTAACGACGCCGCTTTAGAGGCAAAGGTGGCAAAAATGCGAGTTCACCATGCAGTCCCGCAGCCGTCGTTTCTTGAGAGATTTTCAACACTCAGCCAGGCTTTACGAGTCACAGCCTACATCATGCGCTTCAAGGACAACGCGTCCGGCAAGGTAGACAGGCGCCTTGGGCCCTTAATCACTGAAGAGCTCGACTACGCTTTATTAGCCGTCGTGCGTATCGTACAGCGCGAATCGTTCGCAACCGACTTGTCTGCAGTAAGGAACTCCAAACGGTTGCCCTCGCGGAGCAAATTATTAAATTTGTCGCCGATATTAGAGGAAGGCATCTTGCGGGTGAGGGGACGACTTCGCCATTCTAGTTTGTCGCACGAACGTCGTCATCCGATAATCCTGCCAAGCTCTCATCATTTCACCGAATTAGTAATACGTCACTCTCACTGTCTAACCCTGCACGGAGGCGCGCAGTTGACTTTGGCACACGCGCGTCAGCGTTTTTGGATCCTGACAGGACGGCAAGCAGTTCGAAGGGTCATACGGAAATGCGTTCGCTGCTTCAGAACGCGACCAACTACTACGGCTCAGCTTATGGGAGACTTGCCCGTTCATCGAGTCAACCCTCCTAGTCGACCATTCATTGCCACTGGTGTCGACTACACAGGCGCAATAGAGATTAAAGCAGCGCGTCTACGAGGCACTAGCTTTTACAAGGGATACATCGCTGTGTTCATTTGTCTCGCAACCAAGGCGGTGCATTTGGAGGCGGTGACAGGTCTCACCACGGAACATTTTTTGCTGGCTCTGGACAGGTTCACCGGGCGACGAGGAATGGTTCAGCACCTTTACAGTGACAACGGTACCAACTTTGTTGGTGCAGACAATGTAATGAAGACGGTGTACGGTCAGCTTCAAGCGGATTACGAGAAGCTCATCGCCCCCAAGCTTGCATCGCAGCGCACAACATGGCACTTCAATCCTCCTCTGTCACCTAACTTTGGTGGGCTTTGGGAGGCCAATGTAAAGTCGGTTAAACACCATCTAAAGAGAGTCATTGCAGATCGTCGGCTTACCTACGAAGAGTTGTCTACGGTGCTCGTAAGCATAGAAGCGTGTCTCAACTCAAGGCCGCTTTGTCCTCTCACGGCTGACCCGGACGATCTAGAAGTGCTCACCCCAGCGCACTTCCTCATCGGAGACTCAATGCTGGCGCCGCCGGAATATCAACCACAATCCAGATCCTTCGCAGAGCAGTTCCTCATCCAGCAGACGATGATACGACATTTCTGGAAGGCTTGGAGTCGTGACTGGTTAGCGCATCTTCAGCAAAGGCCAAAGTGGTGTCAGGAGACCGAAAGCTTTCAGCTTAACGACCTTGTCATTATCAAGGACGACAGGTTCCCCCCATCGCAATGGTTGCTCGGGCGTGTTATGGAGGTGCACCCAGGGACGGACGCACTGGTCCGGGTGGTGACAGTTAAAACTAAGCAGGGGCAGCTGAAGCGATCCGTAGCAAAGCTCTGTCCTCTGCCAATCCGCGCCTAGACGCACTCACCTCGATTTATAGACTGTATCTTGCGCACACATCTTGCTCTCATCTCTCCATATTAGATACCGAGGATACGCATCCGAGCTCGCTTATCATTACCACAGCCTGGAGAACCCGGACAAGCGAGGATGTCTCATGCTAGGTCTAGCATTAGCGGGCGGCATGTTCAGTTTACTGCTTGTCCCGATAGTTTGAGAGCGAACCGATCAGCTGATCGTTCGCTCATCTGGACCTGTGTAGGACGAGGGCAGAGAAAACGAAACGCAACCAGAACCAACAGTCTGCACGGTCGAACAACGCTGAACGCACGCCGCCGGTCTACCGAAATTTGCACTTTATCATACTTTTGTTAATCTTGGAATCAGAATAATTATATCGCTTTGAATTTATCTTTTGTGTTTGCCTTTGCCTGGGAACCTCTCGTACAATGACCCCTCGTTGACTTAATACAAGGGGACACAACTGAACAATATACATATATATACATCATGATCAGCATCACTCGAGCTCCATTTAATAGCTAGAGACTATTTTGACATGGAGACATACACTTTTGCAAAGTCATTTTTATATATGTATGTATAAAATTTGTCAAATTTGTTTAATTTCTATGCAGTTTATTGGCGAAGTGTAAAGGCTAATCGAAAACGTTGCCGATTGGGAACGATCTACACAAACTCACTCATAATGGGTAATGAAACTTTGGCTTGCCTCCGTTTTCGTTTGGCAAAGTTCAAAAAAACTTCCCCAAACTCAAGAACATTTTTAAAATTACATGCCACGAAATAAACATTTTTAACGAACCTCTCTAGTCATAACGACCAATGTTATATTTGCGATGTTGGAATCATAGAAAGCCGTTGGGTCCGAAATGTTCACACCACCATCGGGCTGCCAGTATCCAACCTTTTGAATTTTTTCTTGCTTTAATTTTAAAATGTCCAGTTTAAACTTGTTTCGGCGACCTTCCACAAAATTGACATTGCCAGTCAAACCGTCTGTAATTGCCTAAAATACAAAATTGTAAATATTATTAATACATACTTAGAAATACGGTAACACTTAAATACTTTAAGCCCAGTACTCAGATTAAAATATGCAATACAAATATGAAATTTCCTGTTTTTTTTTGACTATCTAAGTACCAGTGTGAGAAAAGGGCGTGCGTCAATGTAGCGATGTTTTTGATTCGATTTGCTTGCTTTTCAGCCACCTTTTTAAAAAATTTGTATATGTAAAATATTAAAAAACAAGAAAGAAAGCAAACTTCGGCAAGCCGAAGTTTATATACCCTTGCAGTTATTACAAATCGTCTACATTTCGATTTTATGCCTATATTACCTGCGCTGCACGTTGCCATAGTTTCTATGGCAGCTATGTGATCCAGTTATCCAATTTTAATTTAATTAACACCGTAATTCTATAATATTTATATGTAACCAAATTCCAATAAAAATTAAAAACGACAAAGTTATAATTTTTTTGAATTTTTTTTTCCGATTGTTCTAATAGGAGCTATTTTAAATAGTCGCCCGATCCGGCTCGTTTCGACTTATATACAGGGTGCGCCATATGAAGCGGATTAATGGAATGATCGAATAACTTTGACAATTTCCAACCGATTAGCTTCATCGATAAAGTTTTGTAAATTTTAGTCCAGTACACTTGGCTGATATTGGTTTTTGAAACTAGCCGTCATAAATTGTAAATATGTAATCTAAATAATAAAACAAATTTTTTTGAAATCTATCGAGAATTGTCAAAGTCTTCAATCATTCCATTGATCCGATTCAGAAGGCGCACCCTGTACTGCCTGCAATAGAAAGACAAATTTTGGGAAAGTCTCAACCAGATATCTTTAAAACTGAGGGACCAGTTTGCGTAGAAACGGACTGCCGGACGGACGGACAGACGGAAGGACGGACAGATGGACATGGCTAGATCGACTCTCCTGGTAATGCTGATCAAGAATATATATATTATAGGGTCGGAAATGTTGAAGGAGACATTTCCTCTGCAGGGGTATAAAAATTCGAACTACATAAATATGTACGATTTGAGCATATTGGAGGTCTGAAAGTATTTCAAAACTGTATTTGAAAAATCGGCCCCCCACAGACCGTGTGCCATGCTACATCAGCTTAAAGGACGTTTCTTCAAGAATATAAAACCAACATTTTTTAAAAACAGTATCCACAGCTTTTGAGAAAATCGCTTAACAGCGGGCAAGCGTCTGAGTCAGCCCATACAAAGAAAGGACTAAACAAGAACGAAAGCAAACTTCGGCAAGCCGAATATACCCTTATATACCCTTGCAATTATTACAAAACGACTACATTTCGATTTCAATGACTATATTACTAAAAACAATGAAGCTATGTCGATTTTGGGCTGCATTTGGCCATCGTTTCTATGGCAGCTATATGATATTGTTGTCCGATTTTGTTAAACCTAAAAGTATCATTATTACAAAATCCCAAAGAACAAAAAAAAAGCAAGGAAGAAAAGCTAACTTTGGGCGGAGCCGAAGTTGATATACTCTTGCAGAATATTCTGTAAATTATATTTTCCAAAATTATTCATATGATGCATTCTTAATAGTCATAAAAAATCCCAACTTCCTAACTTTACAAACTCCAAAGTTATGGCATTTCCTATCAATCCATTATATGGCGGCTATAGGATATAGTCGGCCGATCCCGGCCGTTCCGACTTATATACTGCGTGCTAAAGAAAGAAGGGTGTTTGCAAAGATTCAATTCGATATCATTAAAACTGAGAGACTAGTTTGCGTAGAAACAGACAGACGGACAGACTGACAGACGGATATGCTTATATCAACTCAGGACGCGATCCTGATCAAGAATTTATTTGCTTTATAGGGTCGGAAATGTCTCCTTCACTCCGTTGGAAACTTTTGAGTGAAATTATGAAACCCTCTGCAAGGGTATAACAACAAAGTTATACTTTTTAAATTTTGTTTTCCGATTGTTCCTATGGGAGCTCTATGATATAGTCGCCAGATCCGGCTCGTTCCGACATATATAGTACCTGCAATAGAAAAAAAACTTTTGAAATGTTTCAAGCACATAGCTTTAAACTCAGAGACTAGTTGGCGTAGAAACGGACAGACGGACATGGCTAGATCGAATATCCTGGTGATGCTGATCAAGAATATATATACTTTATAGGGTCGAAAATGTCTCCTTGACGGCTTTGCAAACTTTTGAGTGACCCTCTGGAAGGGTATACAAATTGAGTTAGAAAATCGCATTACAGTTAGCGTAGTTTAAAGAGATTTTTATAAAATTGTGAAGAAACGTAAGTTTAAGCTGATGTAGCGTGCAGCTTGGCACACGCTCTGTGGGTGGAGATATTCTCCAATGAGTAGGGAGCCGATTTTTCAAATGCATTTTTTAAATGTTATTTTATTGCTAGCATGTAAATAAATTATAAGTTTAATCCTTATTTATTCCCAGGAGTTTTTATCATATAAACATTCCCACACTCGCATCTACTAAACAAGCTTGAGACCTGCGCTGTGAAAATTTATCGAAATAAAATAAGTTGTTGGGTCAGTGAGCTTTTTCACTAGCGCTAACCTTTGGTGGTGCCCAAATAAAATAAAACCGCACAAATTTGCAATTAATTATGCACAGTTTATTCTAAATGGCACCAAGGCCTTATTTACAAAGTTTAATGTTTATGTTTAAGATTGGTTGGTTGGGCTGGCAGACCGATTTGTCTGTTCCAAAAGGAACAGTTAAAGTTAAAAAACTAGCGAAAGTATATAAAACGAAAAAGAATAGATAGGCGATCTGCGACCGTGCCTTTAAAAGAAGATGCTTGCCGTGGACAAAGGGCCAGGTAGCGGTTGGCAAAAGAAATTCAAAAGGAGTAGCAATTATAGCAAATGAAAAATTTGCAGAGCAAATAGAAAAGAAAAAGCAAACATCGAGAATTTAATTTAAGTTAAGATTTGAAATTATAAGAATTTAATTAGGCTGCGGCCTGACTGAACATAAATGTTCCCAAAAAGGCTTCATTTTAGTACAATAGACTTGGAATCAGGTTTTCATCAAATCTTAATGAAAGGATCAGACGTAGAAATATTTAATTTTCCATTAAAAATGGATAATACGAATTTATAAGAATGCCATTAGGGCCTACAAATGCGCCTAGAATCTTCAAAAAAGCAATAGACGATATACCACCGACATGATCTTTTACTCGCAGTCCTAGAGAAGTCAAATGAAAAGGCAATTTGCGCTGGAGAGCAGGGTAGAAAATATGAAAGCAACATTCTCCCAGGCGAAGTAACCGGTTGAAAGAGAGATAATGACCCCTACAACAACAAGTGCGAGTACAACCGCCGGAGGTAGTGCCATCACCAAGGCAAGAGCCTCCTAGCTGTGGCACTGGATTACAATATCCAGAGGATGGTGGAAGACTACTTTGATATGGAAAACTTCGTAGTGAAGCCTGCGCCGCCAGTTGCAGGCAGCGAAGACGCGCGAGCCCAATGAATACTAGAAGATACCACGGTGAGCGTAGGACAACGTTACCAGACAGGATTATTGTGGAAAAAGATGAAGAAGCGCAACGGGCAAGGATCTTCCACGAGTACGTATCTAAAGGATACGTCCGACGGTTGAAGTCTGACGAAGTCGCATTGGAATGCGATCGGCTATGGTATCTGCCACACTTTGAAGTCGAAAACCCTAATAAGCCGGTTAAGATTCGGCTGGTTTTTGACGCTGCAGCCAAGGTTGGAGGAATTCTGAGCTGGACAAAGGGCTGCAACATTACAAGCCCTTGCAAGACAATCGTCTTTGACTTTCAAAGTGAACGGTCGTGTTTTTTTCTGCGCTTCGAATTTTGTATTTTGTTTTCGTTTATTCCCATCGGTGGGTTTTATCAAAAAAATTTTAATTTTCATCCGGTTATTCAAACATAAATTTAAACTCCGTTCGCTTCGCGAGTGCACTTTGTGTTAATACTAATAAATTGTTTTAGTTTTCGTAATTCTTATCTGTGTTTTCTTTTCTTATATCCCCGCCGTTTCTCTTTTGTGCATGCACTTTAACTTACTTACGCTCCCGCTCTCTTGCTCTCTTTGCTTTGAAAGTTCTAAGCCTGCAGTTTCTGCGCTCTTGCAGTACTTATAACTGCTCGCTTATAAATTTCAATTCGCTTTCTTGGTACAGTGGTCCCAATAAATAATGAATAATAAAAATTTAGTCTGCTTCTGCAAAAAATGCAGCCTCGTAATCAGGGCTGACCAGTCTAATATGACTTGCTGGCTGTGTGAAAATATGGTGCACACCAAGTGCGCCGGTTTTACTGGCCAGACAAGTGATGACCTTTCAAAGGGGCCCAATTTGCAGTTTTGTTGTGACGCTTGTGTCGAGGTTGCGAACGAGATGAAATCGTTCATGCGCCAAACTAAAGGCGGCCTGATGGGGCTGATTAGCTGTTTCGGAGTTGCTAGAGATAGTTTTAGCCGAGCTGATGATCTCCTCTCTGCGCTGGACTCGCAGTTTAATAGTCGTAAGCTATTAGAAGAGTCCCCTAAGCGCAAAAAGGCCGCTGGTGGTAAGGAGCAAAAGGGGAACACCCCGCAACCCAAATCAAAAGAACAACAGAGCATTCCGGCGGATCAGCAGCTGATTTCAGCAAACCCTCAAATGTTGCTAAGATCAGCAGCTAAAAAAGATTCGGCATCCGAACAATCCGTTACAGAATGCATGCAACCAGGGACTTCTAAGAATTCCGATTTGTCCGTGGTGGTTTCACAATTAGTGGATCCACCTATCTCTCAGAATGTAGCATCACCACCACAAGGGACTACCGAGTCCGGACAACCGGCTCAAGTTGGTTTTGCAGAAACAATGTCTGCTCCACCAAAATCCCTTTCAGTGGTTCCACTAAAGAAAAAAATTTTCGTTTCTCGGTTTTCCCCTGATCAAACATCTTCTGATGTATTGTCTTATATACAAGACAAAACTAAAGCCGATTGTAATAGTGTAAAGGTGGAAAAGTTTAAGTTTTCTTATGCTAGAGTCATTTCATCTTTCAAGATAACTGTCCCTAACGAGCTTTTTGAAGCCATATGCTCGGGCGACTTTTGGCCGGATAATATGGTTGTAAAAGAGTTCGAGGCTAAGATAAAGAAGAAGGGGCCCGTGGGAGTAAAACTTCCTAGTCGAGGCCAAACCAGTGTACCAATTTTAAAAAACTAACTTCTAACCTCCTTCTTTCCTATCAGAATGCAAGAGGTTTGCGTAGCAAACTCACTAAATTGTATTCCGATAGCCTTTCTTTTGCATCTCAACACAATAATTGTTCACTGAAACCTGGTTAAAGCCGGAGATCTTTGGCTCCGAAGTTTTTCCAGGTAAGTACACAATATATAGGTATGACCGTCACTCTAGACGGGGAGGTGGAGTCTTAATTGGAGTTGATTCAAACCTCCCGTCTGAGGAGTTATTTTTTGATGAATTCAATACCATTGAATTTATTTGTGTAAAGTTATCGCTTCCTGGTAACTTTATATACATAACTTGCTCATATATTCCGCCGTTGTCTGAACTTTCTGATTATTTAAATCACCTATCCGTTATTAAGTCCGTTGCAAATAAGCTTTCCGATAGGGATCAGTTGGTAGTTCTAGGTGATTTTAATATACCTGGAGTTACTTGGTCCAATGAGGATGGATCGAATGTCTTACTACCTATATCACAGCATGATTTTATTGACGGCCTGCTTGACATATCTCTATCTCAAATAAACCATGTTCGAAATTCATACTTGAATACTTGATTTGTGTTTTGTATCAAATCCTGAAGGTGTATTTCTGTCCAGAGTAGCAAATTATTACTTCTCATTTGCAGCACCTTTGCAGATCAATCATTTCTCCGTGTCAACACGGATTTATTAAACGTAGATCCACAATCACAAACCTTCTAGAGCTCACTACATTTGTGATAAAAGGCTTCAATAGTAGTTTTCAAACAGACGTCATTTACACTGACTTTAGTAAATCATTTGACTCTGTAAATCACTTACTTCTTATTCAAAAACATGAACTTTTAGGTTTTCCAGTTGATCTGCTTAAATGGATTTTATGTTATCTAAATGGCAGGTCACAAAGGGTTCTTTTTAAAAATTCAATTTCTGAAATTCTCCGTGTTACCTCCGGTGTCCCACAAGGAAGCCATCTGGGTCCGTTACTTTTTACATTATTTATTAACGATCTTCCCTCAATTATAAGTCATTCTCGCGTACTTATGTACGCAGATGATGTTAAGTTGTGCCTGCAGTATAAGGACATTTGCTGCCATTTAGACTTGTAATCCGATTTACTAAATTTAAACGGTTCCAAGTGCAAACTGATGACTTTTTATCGGGCCAATCCGATATACGCGACTTACACGTCAAGTGGCAGCTCTTTGGATACGATCTTGGCGTTCTCTTGGACCCTAAACTAAAATTTTCTAATCACATTTCGTCCATGGTTAATAAAGCCAGAGGAGTGCTTGGATTTATTAAAAGGTGGTCAAAAGAATTCGATGATCCTTATTTGACTAAAACTTTATTTATTTCGCTAGTCCGTCCGATTCTGGAGTATGGGTCTCCCGTCTGGAGTCCACAATACGGAATACATATTGGTCTTATTGAATCTGTACAAAAAAACTTCCTTCTTTTTGCTTTACGGCGCCTAAACTGGGATGCAAATCTTATTTTACCTTCCTATTTAAGTAGACTTCTTTTGATTAATTTACCATCCCTAGCCAACCGTAGAACGATGCTTGGTACTATCTTTATTTATAACCTTATACATGGTGATATTGACTGCCCCGACTTGTTAAGTCGGCTAAACTTTTCTGTGACAAGTAGATTAACTAGAAATAATTTTAAATCATTGTAGATCTAACTATGCCTTGCATGAGCCTTTCTGAGAATTATGTTCTGACTATAATAGACTTTTTCCTGTAATATCAAATCTTGACTCTCTGCCGCTCCTAAAACGATTAATACTTGCTTCATTGGCACAAGATTGATCTAACTATTACTTTTTTCCCGGACCTTTACCTTTATTTTCCTATCTCGCGTCTATCTTATCGCCAATCGTGCCGTACGATACACGGCTGCGTCCCTCGGTCGGTTGGGCGGGTAAGTGGGCCGTAGGACTCCGCGCGAAATAAAAAAAAAAAAAAAGACGTGCTCTGTACATGCAACAGAGCACGTCGAAATTAAAGAAAAGTTCCATTAAGCCGTCAAGGCTATCATCGACAGTCACTATGTCGACGAATACGTGGACAGCTTCGCTACGGAGAGCGAGGCCATCAGCGTATCTACCCGAGTGAAGGAGATACATGCAAACGCTGGATTCGAGTTATGCCAGTTTTCATGCATTAAGGCCACCAGGACAAGTTATGCTGAGATCTTGGAGTCGTCAAGGGTATCGGACGAAATTTTGGGTCACGAGCGCGGCCGATGCCGCTAATTATGGGACCTTTGCCAGGAAATCGCATGGAGGCCAATAGAAAGCCGTTCAAGAATACTAGACTGGATTATTTGGGGACACTGATGGTGACCGTGGCTCATCACAACGAGCCCTGTTCACGTGCTTGACGACCAGGACGATACATCTAGAAGTGGTGCATGACCTTTCGACGGATTCTTGTATAATTGCGATAAGGAATTTCGTCCGCCGTAGAGGGCCAGTACATAAGCTGGAATCCAGTATGAGCTTTCAGGAAGAGGCATCGAATGAATTTCTAATTGCCCAGCGAATCCGTCTGAAGGAAACGAATGGTGCAGTGCGTCAAGAAAGTCCAGCGTCACACATTGAGGGAGGTGGAGAGTCTCTTGATCGAGGCCGAGAACATAGAGAATTCGTCCGCTCACTCACTTGCCGGTGAATGTGGACGAGGAGGCTCCCTTGACGCCTAATGATCTACTTAAGGGAGTGGCTAACTCGCCGGACACGCCGGGTGAGGATGCGTAATTCTTACTTACTAGACTATTCCGCAAATTATATTCTCCAAAATTATTCATTCTTAATACTCATAAAAAATCCGAACTTCCTAATTTTAAAAACACCAAAGTTATAGTATTTCCAATCATTAAGTTATATGCCGATCCTTATGAAAGGTCGTATTGATTGGCCAAAAATAATATAGTCGGGCGATCTCGGCTGTTCCAACTTATATACTGCGTGCAAAGGAACGAAGGGTGTGAGCAAAGATCGAATTGAAACGATATCTTTAAAACTGAGAGTCTAGTTCGAGGAGAAACAGACAAACGGACATACGGACATGCTTATATCAACTCAACATTATTGAAAAACAAGAAAGGAAAGCTAACTTCGGGCGGAGCCGAAGTTGATATACCCTTGCAGAATATTATGTAAATTATATTCTCCAAAATTATTCATATGATGCATTCTTAATACTCATAAAAAATCCCAACTTCCTAACTTTATTAACATCAAAGTTATGGCATTTCCAATCGTTCAGTTATATGTAAGCTATATGATATAGTCGGCCGATCCTTATGAAATTTGGTAGGTCGGATTGATTGGCCAAAAATAAAACCCATAGAAAATCCCAACATCCTAACTTTACAAACACCAAAGTTGGCATTTCCGATCAATCAGTTGTATGGCAGCTAAAGGATATAGTCGGCCGATCCCGACCTTTCCGACTTATATTTTGCGTGCAAAGGAAAGAAGGGTGTGTGCAAAGTTTCAATTCGATATCTTTAAAACTGAGAGACTAGTTCGCGTAGAAACAGATAGATGGACAGACATACGGACAGACGGATATGCTTATATCAACTCAGGACGCGATCTTGATCAAGAATATATATACTTTATAGGGTCGGAGATGTCTCCTTCACTTCGTTGCACACTTTTGACCAAAATTATAATACCCTCGAGCTGATGGATCTGATTGCTTTATGAAAGAGATTGATTTATGGAAAGAGAGTTTGCTGAAACAACATCGGAACGTCGTATATATATATATATAACCTAACCTAAGCCAAAAAATCCAACATCTCGTAAACACCAAAAAATCATTGATTTCATTTACTTTCAAAAAAATCACAAAAACTATGTTATACAAGAAACATAAAAACATATTAATAATGATAACAAATCAAGTTTAAATTAATTCTGAATTCTGAAGAACGCAAAATAATTCTTCTTTTGTTTAAAAAAAAACCCAAATATAAACATTGTTATTCGCCTGCTTAACTGAGATTCGAGTCACTACTAAAATTTCCGTTAAGGGATTTATTGCGAGTCAATGTGAGAGCTAACACTTGTAGGGGTTAAGATTCTATCTTCAATTTTTTTTGGCTTGTAAGAAGACAAATGTTTTCAGACGACAGATGAAGAAAAATTTAATTTTACAGCGATTGCGTGACTTTAACAAGAACAATAGACAACCAGGGCTTTAATGACCTTATATATACATTTATTCTGAGCTAGGCATCACTCAAGTCTAAATAACAATTTTCCTGAGTAAAAATACTTAAAACGGCTAAAAACATGTTTTTTCTAGGTATAAGCGGCTTCTATCAATTTAACATTTTGTTGTTTACATTAAAAATGGTAGAAAATCTACTTACTGCATTTATTTGGTTATACAACGAAATTCCATCATCCCATGTTCGGTCAGAGGTGCAGGAAAGGTTTTTTATTGAAAAATTTGGACGATTATCTAAACTTAAAAAGTGTAACCCATACGCAAACGCGTATACCGAATCAAACATTAAAGCAGACTCTGTCTAAAAATAATGCGAAAAATTAAAACATGTTTTTAAAATTGTCGATTTTCTTTTACCTGTATATAAGGTATTCCGTTTACGTTTTCCAAACGATTGTGTTGAAGTTTTTGCATTTGATCTATAACTTCAAGATATCTTTTGCTATCGACATCAACCAATCGAAATGCAGTTATATTTACACTGTTATATCTGAAATCCTCTAAGTCATATGTTTCCAAGTCCTGTTAAAAAAATGATTTTATTATTAGTGAAGGCAAAAACAAAAAGCAAGCAAACTCCGGCAATCGGACTTTACATCGATTTGTATGCATATTGCTTTCCTATTCATTTTCCGATCATGGCAATGATCGACAATTTGATATATATACTATATGACTATATATCAAAAATATTCGTATATTTTTGTCAATTATTTCGATGTTTAATATGGCAGCTATATGAAATCTTCCGAGCTCTCACACTAGTAGTAGAAACGGTCGGACAGACTGAAATTAAAATAACCCCTGAAAGTGTATAAGAACTAGGTTATGTATTCCCTTCCAGATTGTGTTTTATACACATCTAATCTAACTAATTAAAAAATATAAGTTAATTCGTTGCAAAATCGGTTATAGTTAAATAGTTAAATAGTTCTTTTCTTTATTTTTTGCAGAGACAATTCTTTTTCACAGGGAAATAGCGAGAAAATGTTGTTTGTCTTTTGTGTTTTGTCAATATAAAATTATGTTATGAAAAATCTTTTTCCAGTTAATATTAACAAATAACTACTTTGGTATTATTATTACATATTTAAGTGTTTGGCATTATGCATGTATTTATGTACTTACGAATGTTGTAAACATATAGTGATATCTGTGATCATTCATTTGCAGTTGCAAAATCTGAAAAAGTTTAAAACAATTTTTTTGTTTGTGATTAAATTGAGATGTATAAATATGTAGGGATAAGCAAACCATAAAGTTTCGGTTAACCTACTATTAAAAGCATTATCCGAGAAGTCTAGAAAAATGTCAGTGTTTCTGTATTCTGTATAAGAGATTTGCTGTTCCGATAAGGTACGAGTTATTCACTCAATAATGCTCTTATTATAAACAATAAAGGAAGCAAACTTCGGCAAGCCGAATTTTTTATACCCTTGCAGTTATTACAAAACGACTACATTTCAATTTCTACGCCTATACTCGTATTACTAAAAACAATGAAGCTATGTCGACTTTGCGCTGCAAATGCCAAAGAACAAAAAAAATTAAAAACAACAAAGTTATATATAGTTTTAAAATTTTTTGTTCGATTGTTCCATAGCTTACATATATGATATAATCGCCCGATCCGGTTTGTTAGCTCGTAAGAAAGCTTTGAAACGGACGGACGGACATGGCTAGATCGACTCTCCTGGTGATGCTGCTTAAGAATATATATACTTTATAGGGTCGGAAATGTCTCCTTCACTGCGTTGCTTTGACTGAAATAATAAAGTGTATAAGAAGTAAAACGTAACTTTGCAAGATGAAATTTTAATATCCTGAAGTCTTTCCAATGCGCAAAAAAAACAATGGATCCAAAATTGTATACAACAAAGCATATAGTCATCCGATTCTGATAAAACTTAAGGTACTGGTCCAAAATGGGATAAAACAAGAGAGAACGCTGTAGTCGGGTGCCCCGACTATCAGATACCCGTTACTCAGGTAAAGGGAGGGAGATGGAGATAGAAATTTTGATCACGCATAACTTTTTAACGAATGGTCCGATTTGAAAAATTTCTTCTACATTTCGATAGGTATTGACAAACACAATAAAACTGCATTTTTACTTTTCCGAAATATTTAAATTTTTAAAATCGTATATAAGCGATTGGGGGCGTTAAATGGGGCGTGGCACCATTTTGAAACAAACTTGCGCTGCGTAGGAACTTCTAAAATCTACATGCAAAATGCCAATCTTCTAGCTTTTATAGTTTCCGAGATCTCAGCGTTCATACGGACAGACAGACAGACAGACGGACAGACAGACGGACAGACAGACGGATCAGGATCACCTCCTGAGTTGATATAGCCATCTATATCAACTCAGGAGGTGATCCTGATCAAGAATATATATACTTTATAGGGTCGGAAACGCTTCCGTCTAGCTGTTACATACTTTTGCACGAATACAATATACCCTTTTACTCTACGAGTAACGGGTATAACCATTAATTAGACAAACACAACGAGAAATACAAAAATTGCTCAAAAAGCAGCATATTAAACATTTTTGTTCCTATACAATATTGGAATACACGTCCGATTAACGGTGGTTTTTACCTTTATGTGCGTAAACATATAAATAAATGATTGCGGTCAGACAGACATACGGACATGCCTAGATCAACTCGCTTAGTGATTTGATTAAAATCATATATGCTTATATTCTCCTTCACTGCGCTACAAACTTCTGACCATAATTATTAAATCTGTAAAAGTATAAAAATCTCAAAAAAGTAAGAATTTACCTAAACAAATCCGAGTATAAAGTTTTTTTCTTTCAGGCATACTTATTTTTCTTAAAATTGTTAACTCTATGTACATTAAACAAAGAAATCGTTTTAACAATCGTTTACAATTTTTTTACCCTTGCAGAGGGTATTATAAATTCAGTCAAAAGTTTGCAACGCAGTGAAGGAGACATTTCCGACCCTATAAAGTATATATATTCTTGATCAGGATCACCTCCTGTCCGTCTGTCCGTCCGTCCGTCCGTTTCTACGCAAACTAGTCCCTCAGTTTTAAAGCTATCTGCTTGAAACTTTCCCAAAAGTTGTCTTTCTATTGCAGGTAGTATATAAGTCGGAACGAGCCGGATCGGGCGACTATATCATATAGCTGCCATATAACTGAACGATCGGAAAAGCCATAACGTTGGTGTTTTTAAAGTTAGGAAGTTGGGATTTTCTATTAGCTTTGTTTTTGGCCAATTAATCCGACCTACCGAATTTCATAAGGATCGGACGACTATATCTTATTGCCGCCATACAACTGATTGATCGGAAATGCCAACTTTGGTGTTTGTAAAGTTAGGATGTTGGGATTTTCTATGGGTTTTATTTTTGGCCAATCAATCCGACCTACCAAATTTCATAAGGATCGGCCGACTATATCATATAGCTTACATATAACTGAACTATTGGAAATGCCATAACTTTGGTGTTTTTAAAATTAGGAAGTTGGGACTTTTTCTGAGTATTAAGAATGCATCATATGAATAATTTTGAAGAATATAATTTACAGAATATTGTGCAAGGGTATATCAACTTCGGCTCCGTCCGAAGTTAGCTTTCTTTTGTTTTGACTTGTTCTAAGGTCGCACTTAGGTTAAGAAAATTACTGTAGGAATGTAGACATAGGACTTAAATAGAAATAGAAATTTTAATTAAAAAGTCTTCTTACGGATCTAAAAAAAGTTTTTATGTGAGATGGACTTGTATCCACTATTATTTTGTATATTTCCTTTTGGCGGATTGCTCGTAGGACTTGACGATAGGATTCCGGACTGGCTTGCCTTATATACATTTCCGCTTTCGTCTCTGTTGATGAGTGCATCAAGTTAAACAGTCCTAAAAAATAATGTTTATAAAATGCGTACAATAATATTTATATTTAATAATAAGAATAAATAAATTAAAATAGAATGTCGGTCGATCGCCCCAAAGCGAGAAACCGAATTTACTAGTTCTTAGACTACAAATTTAAGTCGAAGTTTATATACCCCTGCAGTTGTTGCATTTCAAATTCTATATACAGTATTGGTCAAGGAAATTAAGCTCTATCTGTTTTCCGTTACATTTTTCGAGCGTGCCAATGGCAAATTACTTTTGTTTTAAGGTTTTTTCCCATTGGGAGCTATATGATCCTGTCCGTTCCGACTTATATACTCCCAGAATAAAAAGGAAGAACTTTACAGGGTCGGAGAAGTTTTCGTGACTGCGTTGCAAACTAAAAATATACTATCCTCTGCAAGGGTATAAAAAAAACTTCTTCAAATCGATTCATCCAACTCGGAAAGTCGTAATTGGAAAGTCTATTTTACATTTAAATATAAAAATATAAAAACATAAATATTTTATTAATTTTTCGACGCTACTTTACTTATTGTAATAATTACCATAGTCTTCCTCATAAATAATTGCAACCTTTGTCCAGTTTAAGTAGACCATTATATCTCTATATGCTAGAGTTAATAGAGTGTGCGATGGATACAAGTTGATGGAAAATTCTTTAGAATTATATTCCAGATCAATTCGAACTTCAATGTGGGGTATATCATAAGCTTCGCAGATAGATTGTACATGACCAGCAAGAAGAGTGTCAGTTGGACCAAAAATTGCTTGAACTCCTGCTTCCAACTGCCGGCAAACCTTTTTGGTGGTGCGAAAAGAGTCATCTCGAGGCACATACTCAATATCGTACACAAGTTGTGTATTGGGAAGAAGAGTTTTTTCCTTGTTGATGCGGTATATCGCGTATTTAAATGCTGATTCGATACTGCTTTCACGCTCATCCTCAGTAAATATGGCACCTATTAAAATGCGAATAGTAAGTACTAGGCGAGATACGTTTAACATTTACTGAAACCTTACCTACGCGTATTACTGGAGGCAAAGCATTTGCAATTATGACTATCGAAAACATTATGTATGAAAAACATACCCTTTTGAGGGTACTTTGGTCTATTATATATTTCTTTATTATGTTTTCCCGTTTTTTTCGAGTCTAAACAGCAAAGAAATAATGTACTGAACTAAAGGGTCGAATAGATGCCTTACCATTTTTTGATATGGCTTATGTGGCGTCTTTACATTCCGTAATCTAAATATTATTCTTTAACACATGACATGTAAACATTTAAAACTAAAGGCTCTTAACTTTTTCATCGAATCTTCCTAAGCACTTTTTGGCTTCATAAAGCTTAAAGCTCAATAAGCTTTTACGGGGTGGTTTATTCTGCGTTATATTATCGTGGTGGTTTTCTTTAAAAAAAATGGTTCCCGAACAGTTATTATGAAAAGTCTTTAAGCTTTCGGGATAGTTTCTTACATTTATTTGAAACAAAATGGTTGCTCGACGCATGACGCCAATAGCTTGAAAAACATTAAGGTTCACTTTAAAAACATATCGAGATAAATGCTGATCCTGTACAACATAATTGTAACCAAAAAGAGCCATCTTATGTTTTTTCTATGTTAAGCCTAGTATCCAGATCGACGAAAACTGTACGCCAGTCATGAGAGAGAGCGAGAGGCAAACAGCTGGCGTTCACTTTTCGTCGGGCCTTTTTTTCACGTCGGTCTCCTGATCGACGAAAAAAATACCAGAAAATTCCATAGCGTTGCCAGTCTGCGAAAACGTGAACCCTAGCGAAAAGATTAAAAAATTTTATCTTTTGGCGTGCGCTTCTCACTGAACATTATAAGAAATGGAGGGAAAAACTCAAAAAACTCACAAAAGTCGATTGCAGGTGTTTACATGTGAGGACAAAATAACATTAATACTATCTGGGGTGCGTCTTGTCAGAGCAAAATGTTTTTTAGGTCCAGAATGTACGAAAAAACACAATAAAAGTGCAGCTATGAACTTTAAATTAGCAAATAATTATCAGTAAATTAAAAAAAACAACTGTTAAATTTAAATTGTATTGCTTTTTAATTTCTTTGTACAGGGGCAGTTTTGTCTTTTCAAGGTAGTTGATAATATCTTTTAAAGGCTCTTTCCCGCAAATACGATATTTGAATTTTAACTGCTTGTAGCACTGTAACTGTAGCACGCTTAAATCTGATAAACTCTCAAACTTTTGGTCACACTGGAAAGATTAAAGTTTTTACGCTAGCGTAATCGTTTGTCGATCTGGATACTAGGCTTTACGCTCTAGTGTTTTTCAAAGAAAAAGTAATTTAGTCTGCAACAGGTCCCAGTTAGCGGGCTAAGACCATTTCATAAATGCCGTTAGATTAAGGAAACAACTTCTTAATAACATTAAAACAATTAAAAGTCCTGTCCAATTTAAAATAAAACTATACACTATCTTGCACACGTCGTAAGTAAAAACAAAACAAACAAAAAAAGGAAGCAAACTTCGGCAATCCGAAGTTTATATACCCTTGCAGTTACTAGAAAACGTCAACGTAATGCTGATCAAGAAATGTCTCCTTCACTGCGTGGGAAACTTTTGACTGAAATTGTAATTCGCTCTGCAAGGGTATATTAAAGGAAAACTCAAATTATTCTAAGCTCACTCACTACAAGAAAGGAAGCAAACTTCGGCAAGCCGAAGTTTTAAATACAAATCGACTGCATTTCGTTTTCTATGCCTATATTACTAACAACAATGAAGCTACCTCAGGGAAAGAAGTATATGTGCACTTTTTAATTTGCTTTTATTTTCTCTAAAGTTAACGATACAGTTTTTGTAAGTACGCAGTTTTGTATTCTTATCTTTTATGGACATCTCCTAATTCAATGGTCCTCTTTCGGCTTCATTCGTTGTTCCGTTTTTAATAACATGTGCTAAAACTTGTGTTTTTAATGGGAAATAAGAATATGTGCAAATTGAGATTATTGTGTTATTGAAAGCGGGTAAGCAAAGAAGTGTGATCTAACAAGAAAGAAAAGCTAACTTCGGACGGAGCCGAAGTTGATATACCCTTGCAGAATATTCTGTAAATTATATTCTTCAAAATTATTCATATGATGTATTCTTAATACTCATAAAAAGTCCCAACTTCCTAACTTTAAAAACACCAAAGTTATGGCATTTCCAATCGTTCAGTAATATGGCAGCTATAGGATATAGTCGGCCGATCCTTATGAAATTCGGTAGGTCGGATTAATTGGCCAAAAATAAAACTTATAGAAAATCCCAACTTCCTAACTTTAAAAACACCAACGTTATGGCTTTTCCGATCGTTCAGTTATATGGCAGCTATATGATATAGTCGCCCGATCCGGCTCTTATATACTACCTGCAATAGAAAGACAACTTTTGGGAAAGTTTCAAGCAGATAGCTTTAAAACTGAGGGACTAGTTTGCGTAGAAACGGACGGACGGACGGACAGGAGGTGATCCTGATCACGAATATATATACTTTATAGGGTCGGAAATGTCTCCTTCACGGCGTTGCAAACTTTTGACTGAAATTATAATACCCTCTGCAAGGGTATAAAAATATTTTTTAATCAGCGGAACGTAAGTAAAATAGATTTTTTATCCTTGTAGAATAAAATAATTAATTTTAAATTTGATTTTACGGTAGAATGCCACGCGGTTTACATTTGTCAGAGAAAGATCGCGGCATGATCAAAGGACTGGCTGAATCTGGCCAAACCGTTTCTTATATTGCTGCCAGATTAAATAGGCACAGGAATACAATTAGTAACTTCCTTAAAAATCCGGAAAGTTATGGAAAAATAAAGCGAAGCGGCAGGCCCAATGAAATCGACGAGTGGTGCAAGAGACATATTCGGCGTCTAGCCTTTCAAGACTTCCGCCCGAAGTTAGCTTTCCTTTCTTGTTTTTAATAATTTCAATGCACATAAACTTCTTGTATGTCGAATTTGCGCTGAATTGTGCCATCGTTTCTATGGCAGCTATAGGATATTGTTATCCAATTTTTGTTTTATTTTAATTAAAACTGTAATTCCATAATATTTAAATATTACTTAATCCCAAAGAATAAAAAGAAATTAAAAACAAGAGAGAACGCTATAGTCGGGTGCCCCGACTATCAGATACCCGTTACTCAGGTAAAGGGAGTGCGAGGGATATGGAGATAGAAACTTTGGTCACGCATAACTTTTTAACGAATGGTCCGATTTGAAAAATTTCTTCTACATTTCGATAGGTATTGATAAACACAATAAAACTGCATTTTTACTTTTCCGAAATATTTAAATTTTTAAAATCGTATATAAGCGATTGTGGGCGTTAAAGGGGGCGTGGCACCTTTTTGAAACAAACTTGCGCTGCGTAGGAACTCCTAGAATCTGCATGCAAAATGCCAATCTTCTAGCTTTTATAGTTTCCGAGATCTCAGCGTTCATACGGACGGACAGACAGACGGACAGACAGACGGACAGACGGACATGGCTATATCGACTCGGCTAGTGACCCTGATCAAGAATATATATACTTTATAGGGTCGGAAACGCTTCCTTCTAGCTGTTACATACTTTTGCACGAATACAATATACCCTTTTACTCTACGAGTAACGGGTATAACAAGAAAGGAAAGCTAACTTCGGGCGGAGCCGAAGTTGAAATACCCTTGCAGAATATTCCGTAAATTATATTCTCCAAAATGATTTATTTGATGCATTCTTAACACTCATAAAAATCCCTTCCTAACTTTAAAAACACCAAAGTTATGGCATTTCCAATCGTTTAGTAATATGGCAGCTATAGAACATAGTCGGCCGATCCTTATGCAATTTAATATGTCGGATTGATTGGCCAAAAATAAAACCCATAGAAAATTCCAACTTCCTAACTTAACAAACAGCAAAGTTATGGCATTTCCGATCAATCAGTTATATGGCAGCTATAGGATATAGTCGGCCGATCCCGGCCGTTCCGACTTATATACTGCGTGCAAAGGAAAGAAGGTTGTGTGCAAAGTTTCAATTCGATATCTTTAAAACTGAGAGACTAGTTCGCGTAGAAACAGACAGACGGACAGACAGACGGAAAGACAGACGGACAGACAGACGGACAGACGGACATGGCTATATCAACTCAGGAGGTGATCCTGATCAAGAATATATATACTTAATAGGGTCGTAGATGTCTCCTTCAGTACGTTGCACACTTTTGACCAAAATTATAATACCCTCTGCAAGGGTATAACAAGAAAGGAAAGCTAACTTCGGGCGGAGCCGAAGTTGATATACCCTTGCAGAATACTCTGTAAATTATATTCTCCAAAATTATTCATATGATGCATTCTTAATACTCATAAAGGATCCCAACTTTCTAACTTTAAAAACACCAAAGTTATGTCATTTCCAATCGTTCAGTTATATGGCAGCTATAGGATATAATCGGCCGATCCCGACCGCTCCGACTTATATACTGCGTGCAAAGCAAAGAAGGGTGTGTGCAAAGTTTCAAGTCGATATCTTTAAAACTGAGAGACTAGTTTGCGTAGAAACAGACAGACTGACAGACGGACATGCTTATATTAACTCAGGAAGTGATCCTGATCAAGAATATATGTACTTTTTAGGGTCGGAGATGTCTCCTCTGCAAGGGTATAACAACAAAGTTATAATTTTTGAACATTTTTTTTAACGATTGTTCCTATGGGAGCTATATATATATATAGATATAATCGCGCAATCCGGCTCGTTCCGACTTATATATTACCTGCAATATTTTTATACCCTTGCAAAGGGTATTATAATTTTGGTCAAAAGTGTGCAACGCAGTGAAGGAGACATCTCCGACCCTATAAAGTATATATATTCTTGATCAGGATCACCTCCTGAGTTGATATAGCCATGTCCGTCTGTCCGTCTGTCTGTTTTTACGCAAACTAGTCTCTCAGTTTTAAAGCTAGCGAGTTGAAACTTTGCACACAGCCTTCTTTCCTTTGCACGCAGTATATATGTCGGAACGGCCGGGATCGGCCGACTATATCCTATAGCTGCCATATAACTGATTGATCGGAAATGCCATAACTTTGGTGTTTGTAAAGTTAGGAAGTTGGAATTTTCTATGGGTTTTATATTTGGCCAATCAATCCGACCTACCAAATTTCATAAGGATCGGCCGACTATATCTTACAGCTGCCATATAACTGATTGATCGGAAATGCCATAACTTTGGTGTTTGTAAAGTTAGGAAGTTGGGATTTTCTATCGGTTTTATATTTGGCCAATCAATCCGACCTACCAAATTTCATAAGGATCGGCCGACTATATCCTATAGCCGCCATA